TGCTTAAATCGATTCAGATTCTTTTATAATTTCAGAATCCATGACTCGAGAAATCAATTACGAAGTATTTGTGTTATTAAAGAAGAAGAACATTTCTTTGTCAATCGCTACCGTGATTGATCTTCTTGTACTTCGTCGTTGTACTTTGTCGTCCTCTTGAAATAAGCGCTTTTTTACAAAATGAAGCCGATGAGGACTTATTTCTAAAGCTATTATATCAATGCATTCGCTTTATATGCTTGCAATGTGAACAAAAACTATCTTTGTTCTAAATTTTTTCTTTTTCAAATTTTAAATTTCCAAACAAAGCGACATCGACGTTAACTCAATAAAGGCGCAGCATTTATCGATTGTAAGTAATTAGTGGTTTCATACGATTTTGTGGGCGGTTGCTTGGATATCATGGTTGCATTTATCTTCTTTGCTTAATTTCCTAACCTTCCAATGACAGAATTTTTAGAAAAAAAAGGCGGGAAATCAATTAACAGAAAAAGCAAATAAAAGATTTAAAAAAGATTTGAAAGCATTATAGTTGGACAAGGCCGACCGTCAAATCGTCTAGACCATTTGACGGAATTTTTCTTTTATTTTCTTAATGGAATAACAAAAATTTTACTTTGACTTTATGGCAGCCTTTATATCGGATGGTTGCCACGATGTGGACCGATCCCTCCAAACTTAACAGAGTTAATTTTCTGGTCAAAGATCTTTTTATTGGTTACCTACCGCTACCCACTAAGGTGAGAATAATAAAATTTAGACTGTGTTGCCATATGAAAGCCTTACATGCGGTGGAATATAGAAAGTGAACATATATGGTCCAGATGTAAAACAATTAACTTTTATATCAAAGGATCAATTTTTATCATTTTATCGGCCAATTTTTATCATTACAAAATTCTTGCTTTCTTCAATATTAGAAAGTATAAAAATTCTTTTTTATTATCACGATAATGGGTGTAAAAGATTCGATGACGACTGAATATAGCTTTCCTACTTGTATCAATTTAAAAGATTTACTTTTTATCGAAAAGATACCCGGAGGTGGCTTATTAACTTATCGCATTTACACAATTTAGCTTATAATGGATACTAAGACTCGCCGATTTTTGTCGAAAAATTTTGAAAATTGCAGTTTTTTTTTCATAAAACAAAATTTTCAAAATAAGGCGTTATATGGCAAATGGTCGCGGAAACGGTTTGACTCAAAATATTTTCAGTAAATTTCGCCCACGTCAGCATATTAAATCCTTTAAAAAGCCTCAACGCATAGACATCAGACAGATGGAAAGTATAATCTAGCTTAAGATATCTTGGATATGCCGTAGATCCGCACAAACTTAACATACTTTTAACCATTAGAGCGGCGTGTAGGACATAAAAATAAAAAAATTATTTGGTGGGGTTGAGGTGCGGTTTGTCTGCGCGATATGTGAAAATTTAAATGGCGACAGTATGTTAACACTATCATCAGGTTTAGGTAAGACAACAAGAGTGAAGCGGAATTATCAAAAATAAAATAAAAAAACTTTTCCAGTTTCGCTAAAATTCATTTCCAAAACAAGTGAAACAATGAATAAAAGAGAAAAAAGATTTTCTACCAATGCTCAACGAATGAAAGTGGAAATGACTTCAATTACACTACAATTATTTTTCCTTTGAATACGTTTAAGTAGCTAAGTGTTTTTCTTCGAGCTTTTTAACCGTAGTTTTATTACTTATAACTTTTAATTTGATTTAAACCAACTCTTTAACTCTATTGAGGCGGCTTCAATGAAACTCTGAGTCGGATGATTTTACTACTCGTTCTTTAAGCCTTTCATTGCCTATATATATATATATATATATATATATATATGTACATGTGTGTGTGTGTATGTGTATCTACATCCAGTTATTCGTGCGTTTGACATCTTTTTTTCGTTTGTGCAAATTGTTCTTGTATTTCTATGGAAATCCTTGATACGGTATTATGGCTACTTGAGTAGAGGCTGAAGTGCACTTGTGAAGAGAACAACCGTTACATAGAGAACGAGAAGCAGCACTTTGCTGTAGGAAAATTGGCAATTTTACAAAATCAATACCAGACGCCATTTTAACGCTAACACCACACGCCAACCACTTTACGTTTGATATTCAATTCAAACAAAGCATCGCTTTTAGAACTATGTACAACTAACTACGTATAACAAATTTTTGTTATATTAATGTCAGTCAAACTTTACCTAGACATGTTATCCACAAATAGAAAAGAAAAACTTTATTCGCTATAAGAAAATTCTTGTGTACTCTACACCACATACATTTATGTGAATCACAGATCTATGGCATTTTGCGGAAAATAAGCATCGTTCACATCAATTGGATCAATTTCAGTCCAAACATTATAACAATCGATCCAGCAACATTTGTTTGATTCATTGAGAGCTTGTTCGACTATTTCTCTTGGGACTTATGAATCCAAATGTCAGTTATATATTGATGATATCCGTATGAAAGGCCATATATGACACATACGAATAGATTTACTGTCATATTGACATTTTTTTCCCCGACCGTGAAAGTTTGAAGAAATGTGAACAATAGATACATCTGATGTGTTGCCATTTTGCTACGATTCTGAAAGTAATATAGTATTACATAGGTCAAAAGCCCGCAAGGAAGAGTTATTTCTGTCCTGATTTAGAACGTTGGGCGAACGCTATTGACGGCTTAATGGTGAGTCGTGTTTCACTATAATTTTCACCTGTTTTATATCAATTATCTGTGGGTGATGCGTCTCATTCTCCTCACTTACGAGGAGCTGTGAATGGCGTTTTACTCACTCTTTATGCTATTGGCAATGGGCAGGTTCGTTGATTCCTTTGTCTATTCTTCCATTAGCCTATTATTCCGAAAGAGTGCAGAAAAATGTCAAAACCATAAAATGTTTGGCCGCCATTTAAAGCGGCCCATAAAGCGACGTTGATGCATGCTCAGAGTCCACAAACCATTGTTGACGAAAATGTTATGGACGCTTTTCGGTTTACCTTCGAATTTTGCTTTACCTTCGATTTCACACTTTGCCGATTCTTTTACATGCGTGAGAAAATTAATCATCCCACAGACTACAATGCTATTATTGACACATGTCTTTAGAAGTCACAAACGTAATGACAAACTCAAAATAATCGAACCTGCTAATCGTGCTTCGAATAATGTGTAACGAGAGTAAAGCATTGTATTTCATAACGATCAAGCTGTTAAGGTAGCGATTAAATATTTTAATAATATTTCTCTTACCACCTAATGCCTGATAAATTTATCGCTGAATCTTTAAGATAACAAGCCGAAGTGATTTACTAATTCTCTTCCTTATTTTTAAACAGTGAACAGTAGAATTTTATTTTGAATTTTCATTTGAATATATAACGCATATCGCTTATTCACTTCATTGTGCAACCGTTTGTACACATTCGTCTACTAAAAGTTATATTTAAGCAAGTGTGCATGTATGTGCGTAGTCGAATGTCCTCTTCAGTTGTTATACACACAATTGCATAGTTTCTGTTCAATGTATGAAAGTAAATGTCAACCGTTGATGAAGCAGGGGTGATGAACCTTTGTAGCGCACATATATGAAAACAATTTCAACCGAAGCTAAGTAGTCTTGAAATTTTAATGAGTTTTTCATGCAAAAATTTTTTACAAGTTTGCGCTGGAAATGCTAAATGCCACAAACTTTGAAAGTATATATATACACATATATATATATACATATATATGAAACAAAATTCGAAGTAAAATTATTAAAAACTTAGTTTCTATTCAGATTTAATTGTACCGAAGGCAGATAAAACCCCTTCAGGAGTAAACCTCATCCCATATACCTGTTTAGACCTGTCCTTTTACTTATTTGTAACTTTGTAATTGATTGTGGATTAATTCTGAGATTAATTTGCTCAATCGATTTTCAAATTTGATCTAATGAACAAATTTAAAAAGAAAATAAAATTTGGGACCCAATGTCAAATCCTAAACGCGGTACGAAGACCTTAATAGAAGAAAAATAAAAAGTTTTCAAGGTTTTTATTCATTCCGAACGAATTCTATAGGGCTTAATACTGCGTTAGAGAGACTATGTTGGTTAATTCAAGAATAATCCTTTAAAAGAGACTGATAGTCGTCGCTTTTTACGGGGCCATCGCTATACACATTTTAAAAATGAGTTAAGCTATAAAAATTCAAACGGAATATATCTTTAACGCTGACAATATCCGCCGCCATGATTAAGCATTTTAATGCCCAGTAGCTGGTACAAATGTCTATGCATATTCTTCCTTTATTTTCCAAAAAAAAACGAAAATGTTCGAAACGCAATTGGAACGACTTTTTTTTTATCAATCTTTCTATTTTATCCGAGTAAATTTGCTAGTAAATTGAGACGTATTATGAATCAAACTGTTGAGTGTTTTTAACTGCTTCTTAATTCCTAAAAACAGAATTTATTTAAGTAGTTTTGTAACTTTCGATTTCAATCTACAACGTTTAGAAGTACAACAACATATAGAAGGGAAATTCCAAGGTTTATAGACTAGTCAAATATATTTTGTATTCTATGTGCTGGCCTTTCGCTCCTACCTTAGAGAAACCTACGAAATTAGTATATCTTCCATCCTCTGTCGTGAATGTAACAAGTTAAAAAGTATTTCAAAATTTTTAGTATTCTATTCGATGTGTAAATTTTTTGGGTGTCATTAAAGTAAACCCGAAAAGATCCCAATATATTAAAACTTAGATAAGAATACTTTAAGTCTTAAAATTCTGACCACATCTACATAAAGAAAGCGAAGTATATGTTTCGATCTTTACGAAATAATGGGTAATCAATATGTATACTTTCATAAACACATTTTTGCATATTACGAAGGCAAAGAAACTCTTAACTATACCCATATTTTTCGTTCGTGTATTTTAACAAAGAAAATAGTAGAAGGTACCTTAATCAGCATCTCAGAAAACATGCAAGAAATTTCAGTTCTAATTTTTTTTCTTTTTTGTTTTTAAGTTTCCAGACATTTTCCAAAACGTATCTTGAAAAAATTATATTAACATAATAATATCATCACTCACAATATTAACTTTAACACATTTTCAGCTGTTGTTACTCTTTGCGCTGCATACGAAGTATTAATCAGCTGTCTAAACTCAATCAAAAATAAGCTTCAACTCTTAATTAATTTCTTCCATTTTAAATATGGGAAAAAAAATTTTAATGGTTTGCTTAGGTTAATAAAAATTAATAAAAATCTTAAAATAAAAAAATATTTTGAAAAGTGTGATTCATTATTTACTTACAGGTAATATTTGCCGCTCGCCTATCGCTGAAGCGGTAATGAAACAGGCACTTGAATACGAACAGCTTCATCATGAATGGACGGTCGATAGTGCTGGCTTAGGAGGGTGGCACTCAGGTTTATTACCTGATAATCGAGCTCTCAGTGTTTTGGAACAAAACGGCATCGTTTATGCAAACCGCGCGCGTATTATCACAGTAGATGATTTCAAAGAATGCGATTATATCTTCGGCATGGATAATAGTAATGTAGCAGAACTTAAAAGACTAGCACCCGAAAATTCGAAGGCTAAAGTTAAGTTATTGGGCGATTTCGGTTTGGAAGAAAGCAATAAAATTATCGAAGATCCTTATTATGTGAGTAAAAAAACTAAGAAAATGCACTTGTTGATTTTTTCTATAATTATGTGTTATGTTATTGTTTTTAGCTTGTTGGGGAAGAACCTTTCGTTAAGGTATATAACCAATGCGTATTGGCATGCAGAGCATTTGCAGAACGTTTGAAAAAAGAAAAAACGAACACGGTTTCATAATTAATATTTTTAAATTGTTTTTTATACATTTTAAATTGGATATTAATAAATAGAATTTACGCGGAATGGTTTATGGAAAACAGCTGTTTGCGCATATTTCATAAAAAGTAAGAGAATGAAAGTGCGTTCTCTTTCAGAAAACTTTTCTGAGCTGTATTTTTCCGTAGCGTCTCTACACACAATTCTACTTTGTCAACCGAATCCTACCTTTTTTCCCATTGTAAAAGCTATTATCAAATATCAGCTGATCCATTCTTAAAAATTTTCTCATGTAAATGGAATTTTGTGATTTTATTAAGGAAAATGATTCAAAGAAAAAATTTAAAAAAAAATGTTAGGAAGGTGGTTTGTTGCGATAAACAGACCCCACTTAACATAACTTTGTGCTGCATCATTGTCTATTGATATGCGTCTGTAAAGCTGTCGTTTTCCTGAGATTGTTCAAAGTAATGTTTGAGAGCTAGAAATTACAAGTAAAGGCGATTGGGATTGTGTTTACTGTCTAGATGAACGGTTTTTAACCCTCATGTTATGCTCGGTATGGATGAGAAATAAAACATAATTATATATATTTTATATATGTGTTCCTACTTTCTTCTTTTAGGTCACTGGAAAGTAAGCAGATGTTCTCCAGCTCAGATCCCAAGTTCTCGAACGGGCTACTATGCAGTGAAGAGCTATTTTTTTACCTAAGTCTTGAAGGCATGCCCGAATATGTCGCCGCTCATTCGAGCTTAGCATAGATAGGACGTAAACAGCCACCCCTGCTGGCATTGAAGTCTGAGTATCGTCCAGAAGCGAATTGGTTTTGTTACATGTGAAAACCTATACAAAAAGTCAAAAACGTAGCAGGAATAATGTAAATGTTCTCGGATTTTGCAGTTACACTTATCGACAATTTTTAAGGAATTAAAAGAATTTTTAAATTCTAAATAAATTATTTTTATATTTATTAAATTTAAAAAAAAATTTTGTTACTTAGCGATTTAACTTAATATAAAAAAAAACGACTTAAATTTAACCGGTGATTGTGAGTTCGTCACGAAAAAATATCAGCTTTTCTACGGGCAGTTTGCTGTGATACATTTTCGATAAGGATTTGGTCTTGTGCAGGACTGCGGTTCAGGCAACTGGCCTAAAAGCCTATTTGGCAAATTAGCTTATGTTGTAAAAAGGAAAAGGAACGTATTAGTAACAGACAAGCTAATATTTCGACCAGGTGAAGCGTGCGCCATAAAGAACTGTTCTGAGACAAATCAGATTTTTGTTGAAGGTTTTTTACTTTTTATTAATGAATATTATATTAATGTATTATAAATGAATATTATTAATGAATATTGATAACTTTGTGGTGCAAGTAGTGATTCAGAGAAAACTACTTTTTTTTTAATTTTTAAAAGCTACATATATTTAATATAAACTAAGTTCTATTAGAAAGCTTTTCGAATTATTAATGTTTGGCTTGAGACGAAGCTGGGATACCGCCTTTTAAGGTAAAGGTATAAAAGTTATCACATTCGTTAGCGCTGAAATCTGCAGACTAAGTTTTATTCAATTCATCAGGAGGGCGCCTTGCAAAATTTCTAAAGATTTGTTTTGAGTTTCTTAACAATTTAAAAGCGAAAAAAGGTATACATAGATATACATTCGCTGTATGTGGTCGAGGGTTCCAAAGCAAAGTACCGCTATATTTTTAATTGTTTCAGATGGAATAATAAACTTAGTGCACATATAAATTGTAGGGTAAGAAAGTTAACTAGAAAATCAGTACGCCCCTCACTTCTACAAATAGGCTAAAGATTCTTTCAAAATCAGCTGTATATCAGAAATGAATTCTCGGATTTTTAGAAAAACATCTTCTCTTTAATATTTCAAACAAAATTTCAATGGCTAAAAAGATATTAATGGTTTGTTTGGGTAAGTAAATAATTTGCCTAAAATGATATTACAATTGTTTTATTATTATTTGTACTCCGTTGTGTAAGGTAATACGTGTCGATCACCAATTGCCGAGGCGGTTATGTTAGAAATCTTGAAAAAAGCTGGTCTTAGCGAAAATTGGCACGTGGATAGTGCCGCAATAGCCGATTGGAATGTCAATTGTCCTCCTGAACCAAGAGCTTTAAGGACCATGGCGAAGCACGGTCTCTCCTACTCAAATCAAGGTATCTAATTTGCCGGCCTTGCCCGCCTATAACGTTCAAGTTTTATTTCAACTTTTCAGGCAGACAAATTCAAGAAGTGGATTTTCAAGAATTCGATTATATTTTTGGTATGGATAAGAGTAATGTAAATCATTTGGAACGTTTAGCTCCAAAAAATTGTAAAGCCAAAATACTATTACTTGGCGATTTTGGTTTGCCGAAAAATGAACGCATAATCATTGATCCTTATTTTGTGAGCAACGTCTGACAATTTAAATACGGACATGAAATTTTTAATTTTCTTCTTTCACAGGATCACGATGATGCTGGCTTTGAGAAAGCCTATCAGCAAAGTGTAATTGCATGTGAAGCATTTCTCAAAAATGTTTTATTTAAAAAATAACATCCCTGAGTGTATATTCTTATTATTCAGTATGAAAATACCGATCAATTCAGAACAATTTTGTAACTATGTCCACTGAACAACAAGGCTGTGATATGATCGAGTGTAAGTTTTAATATACTAAGGTAACGTTACGAAGAATGAAGTATCACGGAAGGCTGATGGACTTTTCTTAATGTATTTGTATTAAAATCAGCTTAAAGTTTCTATCAATGTCCATTAGTATTTGCACTTACTTTACTATATGTATATATATATATATATATATATATATATATGTATACAAGCAACGTTTAGAATATGTGTTTGTAATCACTACATGTATATATATTTAATAATTTACAATAAAGTTGGGAGATAAGATTTCCGTTGCATACAAAAAAAAAACGATTTACAATTATCAGAGGAAAATTACGATTTTCAAAGGTACAAAGGAATATCGTGACTCGAACAAGCTTAATTCTCTTGGACCTGTTGCTCTACCCAGTCCAAACATATAACAACATGCACAGGTTATAATTCTCTTTCTGACTAACTTGCTGACTAAGACTTAAAAGCTTCAGTTATTTGGATCAGAAATACTTAGTAGAAATCCATGAACACGTTAACAAGTACGTGTACTGATAAACTTATCTACAACGGTCTATTTTTGACAATAATCAATCTAGACTTTCTAGACTTTATGGGATTTCTGAAGCTTCTTTCTGGATGCTCTAAACGTTTTGACAAAAGTGTGAAATTGTAATGCCCTAATATTAGGCACGCGTAGTTGATTTTTTCTCATTTTTGTAATTTTTGAAAACATTTTATGACGTCAGGCTACGTCGTAATACGGGCGTGTTCTTTGACTGAATTCGATCAATTTCAATCAAGACAGCTCAATGTTTAAGACGACAAGGATGTATGCCATAGAAATTACACAAACAGGCAGACTGACAGTCGAACGGAGAGGGAAACAAGCTTCCTTATGGTTGCTGCAAACGTTTCACAATTCCTGCCTCTTTCTCATCCGCTCATGTGTATTGTATAAGTGACACTACAGCATTGAAAATTTAAAAATGTAACAAATATGAATTTATTTATTTATTTATTTATTGTGGACATTTTTTAATTTTTTCTATTGTTGTTCTTCTTAGTTCTCTCATTAATTCAAGTTATACCATTTTGCCCTCTACAATATGCTCTTATGTGCTTCACTTTTTGCGCCTGAGCTAGCTTTTCCTTCTTTCACTAATTTCGTCTGCACTAGCAACTTCATTAGTATCATCCAAGGAAGAGTCGATTTCACATAAAAATACATCTGATTTTGGTTACAATACAACTTCATGCGTTTATTTCTTATAAAAATACATCTGATTCATTTTTAGAAGCCAATTGATTCGTTACGAACAGCACAGGATCCTCGATTCTCTCCATAAGTGTTAATTTGGAAATTTCTTCGCCATCATTAGCATTTAATACTAGTATAGGAGAGGGGAATTCAAGCCAACTGCAACAACATTTTCTTCATACAACGATGGACTAGCATCTACACACTTATGTAATTTTCCTGACCAGACAAGTTTAAATAACTTTCGATTGAATGGTAATGTCGCTGAAAATGTTGGCACTTGCATCCGCCTCTCATCTAAGCTACTTAAGAATTTCGTGATATCATTTATTAACACTATTTGTCATAACGGATTTTGTAATTGTGTAATTATTATTACCAACGATCACCTGATCGGATGTATCTGTACAAAAATAAGAAAAAATCGCTTAAGCCCGCTCAATATTTTAAAATATTCATATATAATTTTTTATTTAAGATAAAGATATTGTAGGTAGAAAAATTTCGGACATAGCCGAATATAATTTTCTTACTTGTCATCCCTTATTATAAATTCAAAAGTTTGCGCTGTTACGTGGTTCGTGCAATTACCTGCAAAACTGATAAAATTTTTTAATATTTCATTAAAAATTAAACATTGATTTTCATGTCAGTTGCGGGCATTTTACGGAATTAATTTGAAAATTTTTAATATTTCGATTGAATTTGTAATCTTGGCATAAAAATTAAAAAAAAAAATATTAGCTTTAATTAAAACTTTATAAATTCTATTTGTTGTGTTTGTTCTGTAAAAGGACAAAACTAAAGCCATGAAAAGTATGAATATACTTTTCGTTTGCCTGGGTAAGTATTTGCAATAAAGATTCGTTCTCGAATTCACATCAAGAAGCTATAATTTTTCAAAGGCAACACTTGTCGTTCACCAATGGCCGAAGCCATTACGCGAGATCTATGCGAAGAATTGGAACTTAACTGGGTAATCGATAGTGCTGGTCTTCGCTCCTGGAACGTAGGTCGCCGTCCGGATGAAAGATGTCTTAAAATCTTGGAAGAAAATGGCTTATCGACTAAGCATTACGGGCGCATGGTAAAAGAAAAACCTTATTTTATAAATATTGTCTTGTAAAACATAATATTAAATCTTGGCCACTCGTTAGGTTAACTTGGATGACTTTCGGAATTTCGATTACATTGTTTGCATGGACGAAACGAATGCTAGTGAATTGCAAGCTATGTCTGAAATGGTTGGCAGGAAGTGCAAAGCACGGATCGAGCAATTGACCTCTTATTTACATGATGATGGTGAAGAAATGATAAAAGATCCATTCTTTGTAAGCAGCAAAAATAGTCGGAAATCAATTTGATATATATATATATTTATTGTTCTTTTTCTTCTTCTTTTTATTTTAGACGCGGGGACTCAATGGTTTTCGTTGCGCTTTCAATCAAATCTCTCGCTGTTGTCGTACCTTTATAAAGCAGGTCCAACATCGTGAAAATCATGGCTTTAGTTTGCCTTTAGGACAGAATTAGTAAAAAATTCCCGCCACCCCTTTAAGAGGTGTTTTATTATACTGTTCCGTTGTTTGGTAAAAACGCAGACGTTTTTTTTTTTTTTTTTTTTAGATTCAAATTTTAAGTACAATTTATTCAGAACTTTATAAATATTATCAAAATGCCAATTTTTTTTTAATTACATTTGTTTTCCGTATTGTCAGTAAATGTCAAATCACATAATTCGTTTTTCTCGCAAGTTATTCTCCTTCTTTCAAGATTTCCTTTATGAATTCATTCCATTTTTCCTTTAATAGGGTTTCAGCTTGCGTCCTCTCTTGGTCGGTTAGCTGGGCATATTTTATGGTATTCTCGACTAATCGTTTAAGAGTCTTAAGGCCGGCTTGATAAGGACTCAAACTCATAATAGCGTAGTAATAATCAGGGTTTAAGCCATCTAAATCCATGAAACCGGGTGAATCGTTGCCTAAAACTATTGGTACGTTTTCTGACATTAATATGGCACCGGGATGATTTCTTAGATCCTTAACGAAACCATTTATCTGATTCGATACTGGGCTAAGTTCGACTGCAATGTCTTTGTCTTTCACATCCCTCATCAGAAGTGGATGTTTTGCCAAAGCGTAACCTTGACCAATGCGTGTAGTGTTAAGTAACAAGGCATCCACTAAATTCTCATCAGTCGAACCAAGTCGGTCTTTTAAAGAGATTAAAAAAAATAATCTCACATTGCTTGATATTGTAATTAATAATATACTTACTGGTCTCTCCGGCTTGAAGGAAAGGTTTTGAACCATCTTTCGTGGCACTTATAAAGTCATCAGCAAATAACTGCAAGGGAAGTCCTTTATCCTCCCAGCCAACAAAATCAATACCAATTATAGTGTTCGGGAATTTGGAACTGTATTTTAAACGACAATCAACAGTTGCAGTTTACTTTTTCATATAAGTCACTGTTTAATAGATTTGTAACTCTGGTTCCATCCAAAAAACTGTACCTGACACACTCAAGAAAATGAAGTTTTCGTCTTGATTAGGGCAACATTTCTTGGTCCGTTCAGTCGCACACCCGTCTCTCCGTAGCGTATAGCAAGAACATCTAAAATCTCAGTGCAAAGGTCTCCTTTGGTTGTCTATTAAAAATTATACCTTAATGGTATAGAGTATAGTTTTTACATGGAAGTTCTTATGTAACACCTTGAAGAAAGCCGTAAGGTTTTCTGTCTACCTGCCGGCTATATTATGCATAACAGATTTAACCGAGATTTTAAATTCCTCAAAACCCCTTCAACCCTTCGCTGTTTTTACATGTTTCCACTTGAAAAGTGATTTACGAATCATTCCACGTCTGTTCGGACACTCTTCTCACATGCTACCAAATACTTCCAAGAGCATGCGTTCAAATAAATGAGAGATAAAACAAATGTAAATCATCATCAATTGATAAGCAATAGCTGGATCTACGGAACTCAAAGCTCGGTGGTCAGAAAAGATATGTCGACTTCTCACACATTCTTAAAAACCTTTGGGTGCTCGAAAATGGTTTTTTCAACCCAAAATCGTACTTACCGCAGGTTTTTATACAACTCAAACTTTTTACGTATTTCGTCTTGCTCCCCATGGCGGAGTATTGCAAAAATTATTTTAAGTCCTACGAAATCGGGGTGAGTTGTTTTAAAATCATTCACCACATTTTCTATTTCTTTGACCACGTCATCCAAAGTGTACTTTTTACTGGTATCGTCATATAGCTAAGAATTGAACCAAAAACACATCAAACACGTGCTAAGAGAGCTTTTCAAATTATCTGACCTCAGAGTATTTTACGCGTACTTCAGTGTACAGGACATTGTCGTTGTACAACTTTTCAAGAAATTGCCGATAATGAGCCTTAAATATTGGTAAATAATTTAAAGCATCATCAATTCCGTCAAACATATCACACAGCTCGTTAAATGCTGCCTCGCTTGAATTAAAAGTCTCTGCAAAAAGTTAATATATAATGTAAGTTAGGTGTAGAGTTTAAATTAATGAATGATAGGCTTTGCTATTTTCTTTTACCTTCAGGTGTTGGGGTGTACAAATTAAACCACTCCTCTTTAGCTTCGCCTTTAGCGACCTGCATGAGTTCGGATTTACAGCCCTCGAATTGCTTACGGAATGTTAATAGTTGGACATCATGTTCGTTCTTACACTTTCTGAGATTTTCGTTATTTAAAATATTATTCAATATCCATTTTGAGGAAATAGCGCCGGGCGTATGAACACTCAATAAAGCTCCTTTAGGCATTTTTCGAATCAACTGATAGATTTTACTTTCTTCCAATAAAGGCTTGGCTTTGTAGTAATGCATGCCTGGCAAATTTTTTTCGGGAATTTTAAACCCGTTGCGTAATTCCGTTTGTTTAAGTTTCAAAAATATTTGATCGGCCTTTTCTTCATCGCCTTGCAATGTCATATCATAACCGAGACGAAGTTTATCTTCATCTTGTATAATTTTATTGCGCTCAGCTAATTATTAAAAATTAAAAGAAAAGAATAGCAATTAAAAACAAGTAAAAACGAACTATCTTTGGCCGCAGCCAATTATTACCCCGCACCGCCGTACAGTTATTCATATAACGACTTTTTAAAACACGACGTTATATGGGAAGTGGCTGAGAAAGTGATACTGGAAAACAATACGGACAGACTGACATATTATGCGATCGCTATTACAAACGGTGGGGTGGAGATGATCTCAAGTCCTGTGTGTTGCAAACATCCGCGCATACTTATATATCTTTATATTACAAGTGGCTTATGGTATGAAAAATAAGGGAACGCTTTTAATTAAAAATCGTCGTGATATTTACCTTGATAAGCTGTGTTCACTTCCGCCAATGATGGCAACAGAAATGCAAGTATTATCGAAAGAGCTGACAGTATAAAGAAATTCATTTTTAAAAGTTACAGCACAGCTCAAGTATGGCTTGATTAACTGATAGTCACATTGGATTTATAGCCTTTTATATAATCTTGATGGATATGGTCAAATTTCGTGTAGGAGTTTTTTTTTTTTTTTTGCTTTCTTGCTTAGCGAATAAAATATAAAACACTTGAGCAAATATTTGCAAGCAAATTATTTGCTAACTTTGTAAAGTAAAATGTTGAAACTTGCCCATCAATTGAGTTACGAGGGTGTATGATTCATCTGCAAACATGTGAAACTATTGAAAGAAAAGTTTTAAAACGATACTGCTGGTATATTTTTTGTTGGTTGAATTTGTTCTTTCAAGCCTTAAGTCTTTTATTGTCGTCCTTTCCGCTTTTTGAGTTCATTTTTCTTCTTCCATTTATCGGCTTTCGTATCTTGCTTTGCGTGCAACTCTCTATCCTTGTCTCCTTCCATTTTATCTTACAATTTCTCCCACATCTATTCTAATTTATTTCTTTTCTTATTTAATTAACGAGTCGATATGCGATTATTGACTTAGTGTCAAGAGATGAAGAAGCCGTCTATCAATAAGTAAACATTTTCGTATTAACCTTTTTCATGAATTTTTTCCAGGGACTGCAGTAGTTTTAAATTCCAAAGTCTAAGTAAGTGATATATATATATATTACACACTAAAAATTAGGAAAAGTTTTAGCCGAAATCAAGCTAACATCATGTCCCGCATAGAATTTCTTTTAATGCTTTCATGTAGACTTTTTCTTTTTCTACTTTCTGTGCGATATCACGAGCATGCGGCGACTTTGATGCTATCTTCTGCATTGGCCAGAGAAAGGAAGCTTACTTTACGGGAATTTCACTGTAGCTGGTCGTGATTGGCCTATTTTCAGTAGCGTGTGTAAAAGGGAACTATAAGGGCACTATATAAACCTTCGCGACAGTAACCCAGGTTAAATAACGTGGCGGACGTGTAACGAGCAAAATTAGAAAGAATTTAGTCACGAAAATGTAAAAGGCCTTTACACACCAAATCTAACCCAAACAAGGAGATTTGTGTTCACATTGAGCCTTTTTAACGTATTTCAGCGAATTTTCGGTTGTAGGTTTGCTGAATAGCAAAAGGGGAAGAAGAAATGAAGTGAAAACATTGTAGTCGGGCTAGGCCACCTTTTGGACATCACACATCACGTTATCTTTACTCAAAATTACATCCCTGTGAACGCAAAGGGTTACTTTTCATAGGATTCGTGGCGCCCAAGGGGCTCAAAACTTGGTGTTACGTTTTTAAAATTCACCGCAGTTAATTTTTATAGCAAATTACTTGTATGGGTCAATTTTCATCATACCATAATAAAGCTTCCAATTTTGTGCCCTAAAAAACCAAAAATTTCGTAAAAATCCTTACGCAGAGTGCGATCCAAAAATGGGTGTGGGTGGTGTAACTTTGGTATAGGCGATTTCTTAACTTATTATTATGGGTTAAGTTTTATCAAAACATGTTAAAGTTTACACTTTCCTGCCCTAAAAAATAAAAATTGTCAAGATAATCCTTATAAGGGCTAGGTTTCAAAAAATAAGGCCAAAATTATCCAAATTTGGTACACTCCATTTTTTTCATCTTAAATTACTATTATGATCTGATTTTGATCATAAAGCATCAGACTTTTTGTCATATGAATTTCAGTTTTCGTTATGTGAGAGGGGATTCAAAAAATAGCCCGACCCGGAATAAAGTTTCACACTAATTTAGAATGCCGAAGTATTCCTACTTGGTGTCGTTTGTCAAATTCAAAATTACAAGTTTTTCCATACAATAACTTTTCAAAATAGGGCGTTATAAGGAGCATTTTCGAAAAAATGGACAGATCCAAACCAATTTCAATACCGTTCGTCCTCGAATCAAAAAACGTCAGTGTACTAAATTTTACCAAACTATCTTAAAAATTTGCGACTACTGGCTGGAACAGTGGGCAGACATTAGACGGACAGACAGACAGACTTAGCTCGATTCAATGTCTTTCTTAAGCCCTTCTGCGTGTGACATAAGTCCGCGCAGATTAATATACCTTACAGCGCAAGTGGTATATCGTACATATATATATATATATATAAGTAATAAAATTATATTCGGTTTGGCTATCATCGTTATTCCATAAAAGGCTGAAATTGGAAGCAGATTGAAAAAAGGAAAAATACACATTTGCATATTCCATAATATTGGGTGGGTGGGGCCGACTTTTCCCATTTTCGTAAAATAACTTTGTTGAAATTAATATCATGTATCTGTCGTAGCTTATGAGCAACGAGCAAAAGCCATGCAAAGCGAGTCGGGATATGGTCCAGTTAATTGCACGTGTTCGTTCATTATGTTTAGCTTCCACTTAGGTTGTATTGTGACAAGGATTTTTTAAAGAAAAATGGACAAAAATATTAAACTGTAAATGTGCGTAATTGCGAACCTTTGCTTTTAACTAAATAAAGAAGGAACGAACAAATACAAGCAGAATGCTTTATAGTGACGCTGTCAACGCAAACTTAAGCAAAAATGTTAAATGGATGCGACAATTATTGTTGGTCTATGGCTTCTTATGCGCAATACTCTCAGGTTATTGCTTTGGCAATTCAACGGAATATCATGGTTTTGACAATACTCAGCCAGAATCTAATGAATTCGTATTAAAACGTTATTCAATAGAAAATGATAATCCGGAATATTTTATAAAAACAAATCAATGCCTTATACCATATGTAGATTATTTATCGCCGGAAGTGTTGAAATTTTATTAGCCCGAATACACAACGGGAAGAACAACTTTTAATAAAAATATTATACAGCCATGAAGCAAATCATTATGTTCTTCATATTAATGTGAAAGGTGCACAGCAATACAGTCCTTCAAAGGATTTAACAATGCAAGAGAATGAAGTGCAATGTTGCTACGAGCGAATATTTTACTGAGCTTTAAATTAATTTCACATATCACTTTATTTCTATAGTTTAATTCCAATATTTTCCCCAAAATTATATCGTACCGTCAACTGTTGATAGCCTGTTGGTTACTTGCAAATTAAAATTAATGGAAAAAACAATAGAGCAAAAAAGCGCTTTTTTTCTGGTTCAAGTCAGAAAACGTCCTAAACTACGCTATCTTTTAAATACTAGAGAAAAAATACGCCCTCCTCTATATTTATGGATCATTGATAGTCTATCACGGATGAATTTTCGACGTACTATGCCGGAGACTTTCAACTACCTAAAGGAGAAGAAATGGTTTGAACTACGAGGCTATAATAAGGTACGCTGTTCTTGTAAACTTTCGAATATTTAAAGTGTTCCACAGTGCGGCTATGAGGGACCACATGTTTCGCGTATTATTTAATAAAGTTCTCTTAATTACGCCAAAGATCCGATATTGACTAGTGCACGTTGCACTTTAATCCAAAATTTTGTAGTCTTTGATATCCACAATAGCAGATCTTTACAATTTAAGAAAAAAAAGTACATTTTCCTTTGGCCAATGTGGGACTTCCATTACTGAAGGCAACTACGTTAACATCGCAATCGTTTAAAACTTGTTGTATGGCATTTTGTTAGGAGAGTTATGTGGGCCGGGGGAAATACTGTTAGTGAGTTACTTAAAAGTTAGCTGGTGTTAGATGAACTACCAATTGCAGCCTCCAAGTGTATAAACAACTCGTTACCGGTTCCTTTAAATCTGTGAGCGGTAAATGGGTTTGTTAAACACTAATTTCTCTACTTTTATATATGATTTTGTGAGAAATAAGTAAATCTTAGTTGTTAGATCCTTTGATTATAATGTGACAAGTTGTGATCATGAATTTTCAAAATTGAGTTTTCCAAGTTTTTGTGATAATTGGTAAGATTGATAGGATTATTGGTAGAAATATATTCACATATTTGCTCAATTGACTATGGTTTTGGTTTTCCACGCCACCTCCGATCATAATGAACGTCAATTTTTCTTCTTTTTTTCGATCGAAATCTAGAATTATTTCACATCCGCGGATCTACAAATAGTTTCACAATTCATTACCAATATGAAATCTCTTGCTTTTTAAAGCGAATCTTAAGATCCGATCATTTTAGATGAACATATGTAAACTATTATGGTATTAGAGTCTCGCTGTTCGTAAAGTTTCCTTTCGTTTTTTTCTGGATCGAAATGAAAAACGATTTTTTTGTAGCAAATAAATGAACGGTCGAATTCGATAAATGTAATCTCTCAGCGATCATCGATCTTACGAGTCGTTATTCGTCAGTTTGCATCAGTTAATCCCTTTACTTTGTTTTTATCTGAGCATCTAGGCCATAAAATTGTGCAAACCAGTTTTGGTTTTCGATAATAAAAAACTAATATGTACCGGATTTTGTTGACTTCGACTTTCCATAGCTGGCTCAAATGACAACTTGGCTGTGAAAAAAGGCATTTAGATTTAATGTCCGACTTGCCTTTCCGAACAACCTAATATTTGAAATAACAGCAAAAAAATATAATATCTTAAAAATGTTAATCATTACTCGTTTAATCCAAAGATGGCGTCTCACAAAGATGGGTTAAAACCCTTGTTAAGAAGAAAGCTCTCTTTCTTAGAGTAAATTTCACGTACTAAAGCAAATATAGCAAATAAATTGCGATTTTTCGTTAATTAGCGAACGCAGATACAGTAAACTATTTTCTTTTCTTGATACGACTCGAGGGCGGCCCTGGTCAAAAAGGAGCGAAAAAAAGGAAAGGCAGGTGGATGCAGCCTATGTCAAGTGTGTACACAACAAGCCACTTGCCTTTACTGATTGTGAGTACACAATACAGCTACAACCAAGGCAATCTCTTATCACATGAAGTTTTGAACCAGCGAATACAAATATGGGCGCGATTCTTGGTTGTTCGGCTACTCTTGTTTCTCGTGTTTTAAAATAACTGTATAAAGCGTTAGCGGAAAAACACTCCCAATCATCCAATTGGCATGTTCGACGATACCAACATCTTATTATGATGCTTTGTTTTTCTC